GCTCAATAAACTAACGAATTTAAGAAATGTTACATATGTTAGATCAAAACTGATACGAAGGATTTAGGGTTTCCACCTTCATTTCATTATTTCAATCAACTTTGATCAATATACAATGCTAATAAAAGTACCCAGGCTTTAGAAGATTAAAAAAGCCTCCGTATGGTGGCGATAGAGATTTCCTAAGGCCGTCGGTGTATGTTCTGCGAAGGATTAAGCCACAAACCGAGGATCCGCCAAAGGTTTGGATGTCAACAGGTACAGCGGGAATACTGTTGAGGCTAGGAACTGAACTCTGTACATTCAGCATGAGAAGGGCGACTGTCGTTTGAAACCTGGAACAAAAAACCCGAAACGGATAAATAAATATACAAATGTTTAAAGTATACTAGATAAACAGGTAAACACGAACTAACGGTAACAGGAATATAAAATCAAGAGAAACAGATATTTAGACACTTAAGGAAGATCAAAAGAAGCTTGAAACTTGGGGCTAGATAAAAGCTTAAAACGTGGGTGAAAATATAAAAATTGAGGTTCGAAAAAAAACTTGGAATTTATTAACAGACAACCAGGAATCTGGAAACAACTGAAGAAATTATAAAGATGTAAAACAGAAACTTGAAATTTATTAACAGACAACCAGGAATCTGGAAACAACTGAAGAATTTATAAAGATGTAAAACAGAAACTTGGAGTTTAGTAACAGACAATCAAGAATCTATAAACAGCTGAAGAAGTGTAGAAAAATGTAAAACAGAGAAATAATCAAAATCCACTAATCGGTCAGTCAAGGGTTGACGGTGGGCGTTGTTGACTAGCCATGTTGACTAGCCACCTTCCCTTTAATTCATCAATTACATATTTTATGGAGCTTTTCGTGTAGATTTTAAAGAAATAAGCAAAATCTGGCAAAAATATAATTTGCTTTATTAAAATTTTAAAAAAAGAAAGAAAAATAGAAAATTCGGTCACCTACAGAATTAATCCCCATTGTCTTGTATTTTTAATGGCCTGGTAATCAAGAATTGACAACAGGAAATTGGAGGTGTGGTGAGAGACTTCAACAAACGAAAGGTTCTGAGCTAACCTAAATGTTACACTTGCTAAATATCCGACCATAACCTAGATACTACGTAGCATTATAACCTGGTATTATAATCGTATACGATTAAAGATTCGGCATAACTTGAGCGTCCCATTGTTATATAACTCAGCCTAACCTGAGTGTCACATTATTACATAACTGAAAGCTAAGCCTAACCTGGGTGTCATATTGTTGTATAACTGAAGATTCGGCATAACTTGAGCGTCCCATTGTTATATAACTCAGTCTAACCTGAGTGTCACATTATTACATAACTGAAAGCTAAGCCTAACCTGGATGTCATATTGTTGTATAACTGAAGATTCGGCATAACTTGAGCGTCCCATTGTTATATAACTCAGTCTAACCTGAGTGTCACATTATTACATAACTGAAAGCTAAGCCTAACCTGGGTGTCATATTGTTGTATAACTGAAGATTCGGCATAACTTGAGCGTTCCATTGTTATGTAACCGAAAGTTCAGCCTAATCTGGGTGTCCCATTGTTATGCAACTGAAAGTTCAGTCCAATATGGTTGTCCCATTGTTACATCATCGAAAGTTCAGCCTAATCTGGGTGTCCCATTGTTATGCAACTGAAGGTTCAGTCCAATATGGTTGTCCCATTGTTACATCACCGAAAGTTTAGCCTAATCTGGGTGTCATTCTCATCAGGACAGCAGATGTCTGATAAACTGAACTCAGATTTGAATTTTTCAAAGAAACCTAGTAATTGTCAAATGTATCCTAATTCTTTTTTTCCTTTCAGAGCTATAAATTAGAAGTCGGGCTAACTCGAAGATTGTTCACTTTGTTACTTTCCTGGCATTTTCTATTTTGTCAAAAAATAAATAAAAATATTTGACATTCTCTTTATGACATACTTGTGTTAAGAAACTAAAAAAAAAAAACAACATTGGCGATCATCACTCCAAAAGCCCCCCATTGGCACAGCGGTATGTCTACAGACTTACAATGCTAGAAACTGGGTTTCGATACCCGTGGTGGGCCGAGCACAGATAGCCCTTGTGTAGCTTTGTGCATAATTAAAAAACAAACAAACAATCACTACAAAAAATCTGAAAAAGAATGATAAGTTGTTCTAGTTTTATCTGAAATTTTAAAGGACATTCTCATTAAAACCGTAAATTTCGAAAAAAAAATACACAATCGAAACACAGTGTAAATTAAGAATGGAATGAAATGCTAATGAATGAATGTTAGCTGACTGCTAAGAGTCAGTGTCAGACCTTTTAAGAGCGAATTCTAATTTCTAACATCTACTCAAAAAATGTATATCAAGAACGACAAAACTACCGATTTCAAGAGGTTTTGTTCTTCTTCTGAATGATTGTCCTTACACTAAAACACTATAAGCAGCTTTAACAATCCAAGTAAAATCACGTGCTCGTCATGGTACGAAATGAATCACAATTCTAAAACCTCCTAACATTTGAATTATTCGTATACTTACAGAAGAGGTTAATGATGCATATCAAACGTACTTAATGACGGTAGTTATCATCATGATTTTGTTTTCGTTCAAACTTCTTCAAATGATGAGAACAAAGCTAACTGTAATTTTTCGGACTGCTGATCATGCGCATTGAATAGTCTCGCTCTATGTAAATAGGTTTACATGGAATTATCACATGACAGTCATCATGTTTGAATAAATGTAAAATGCTGCTGACCTACGAAGCGCTATATAAAAACACCCTTTTACAGAATATTCTGCTCAAAATTTTACGTTATTTTGTTAACAAGAGGGAATACTCAATAGCCGCGGCTGTAATTAGATCTCAAATCGGTCAAGAGATGGAGCTATGAGCTAAAAGCTATTCCATGAGCCACTATGCCGCGGCTAAAAATATTCTAAAGTTAACCTTATCTAAATTTACGATTACTTGGCTGTTTTGACTTTTTTTTCGACCGTTAATTGGAATTAAACACATTGATCGCTAAGCTATTCCGAACTCAAAACTATTTGAAGGATTATTTTAAAATTGAAATTTAATAAAGTGTTTGATGAGTGTGTGTGTATATATATATATATATATATATATAT